ATGCACACATGGGGGCACCTGGGTGGCTCAGTGGGTTGAGCCTCTGCCTTCGGCTCAAGTCATTGTGTCACGGTCCTGGGATTGAGCCCCGCATCAGGCTCTCTGCTCAGAGGGGAGCCTGCTTCCTCCCCTCTCTCTGACTGTCTCTCTGCCTACTTGTGATCTCTCTCTGTCAAATAAATAAATAAAATCCTTTAAAAAAATAAAAATGCACACATGCGGGCACCTGGGTAGCTCAGTGGGTTAAGCATCTGCCTTCAGCTCAGGTTAGGATCCCAGGGTCCTGGGATTGAGTCCCACATTGGGCTCCCTACTCAGCAGGGAGCCTGTTTCTCCCTCTCCCTCTGCCCCTCAACTGCCCCCCCCCGCTTGTGCTCACTCTCTCTCTCTCTCTCTCTCAAATAAATAAATCAAAAATCAATCAATCAATCAAAATGCACACACACATATATTTGCGTTTGTTTGCACGGGCAGCCACGTGTGTATAAAGTATCCCGTGCTTCTCACCCTGTTTTATCCAGCATTTCCCATCTATGTGAAAAGACAGTTTGGGAGCAGCCTTCTGCTTAAAATCTCCCTCAGCAAAACTGATGGATTTATTCAATCTCTGTGTTGCCATTTCGGATCCCTGAGTGTTTCTTTTGTACGGTGACGTTTGAATTGGATTTTTCTAACTGGTAAACCTAAAAGTAATCAACGGCTTAGGAATCGGTTTTCATTCCACTCAGTAAATATTTATTGAGCATCTACTCCGTGCCAGGTATTTCAGAGGGTACGAGGTAGATCCAAAGATAACCTAGAAACAGTCTCTACCCTCTAGGAATATATGATCTAACAATAGTAAGGTGGTGAATTCATGTTCTTGTGATTCCCTTAATTTCTGATTTCTACCTGATCTTCTGTATTTTTTTTTTATAGCTTTGGCCTTTTCTTCTTTTTTTCCCCCTCTATAGAGTTCTCTTTCTATTAGCCATGCAAGGTTTTGCTTTAATTTGTGTTGGTGGTGGTGGCAGCAGCGGTGGAGGTGGTTTGCTGAACTGTTGATAATCCTAACCCTTAGCATCCATTTATCCTGGACTCACATGGAAATGCTTATAGTCTTCAGGCTTCTTGCAGCTTCTTTGCTTTTCTCAGCTCTTGTCATCGCCCCCCCCATCCATATTTCCTTCAATACCCTTTGTTAAAATTGGGCAACACTTGATCTCTTTATACTTTTCCTTTCCTAGTGGAGTACTGGTTAATTGTCGCTATTATTACACGATGGTTCGCCAACAAATAATTTTTAGGTCAGCCCTTGTTCACTTTTCAGGAACAGTCAAAATCGCCTTGCCCGTCTAAAGAAGAGGTCATTTGCCCTCTTGCCAGATTCGTACCTACAGTAAGCACGTGGTGTTATGCAGACTTGTGTCTAGGCGCTCCATTCTAAGTGCTGGCCGACTTAGCAGCTTCTCTTCCACCAAACACAGGCAGATCCAGACCACGACGTGTCCTCCCTTGCACTCTACATTTTACACCTTTCACACTCACACTCCTTTGCCTGCCTGCCTACCTGCAGTGCTTCCTCTTACTTGGACACTTCTGCGATTAAGATCAGAAAAGCCAGACCTAGATGAGAGCAACTCTTCACTTTTGACCCTTGATTTTTTTTTTCCCTAGCTCTCTCTTGGGCCACAGTGACTTATTCATTAACAAGTGTGATTAGAACATAAACACCACTCTCAGCTTGCGTCTGTTTGCAAAGTCAAGTCTCTATTATTAAGGGACCAATTAACTAGTCTGGAGGTTCCAAGGGCCTCCTGCAGTGTGCCTTTTGGCCATCTCAGTCCCCGCAGAACAGCACTCGGAGAGCGTAGAGACGACCCAGCAAAAATCTGAAACCAAGATTATTCAGTTGTGCTCCACGTGAAGTTAGTCAAGTCTGAGGGAAATGAAAATTGTACATTTCAGTGTGCTTGGGGATTATCTAAGGACAGAAATTCATATGGTGACAGCAAACAGGGCTTCCTTTTATACTATATAAATGCTTGCCAATGAGCAATAAAATTTAGGTATTATGAATGTTAGTCAAAGTTAAGAGTGTTATTTTTCTGGTATTAAAATCAAGTCAACAAATCGTTACCAAATGTTTGCCATCCTATAAATGAAAATGTTTGGTCGTCTACCTCTAGACAGTAGCTCAGAGAGAGAATGCCTCAGTTACGTTGACTTCAGGCCAGGATTAGCCTCAGTGAGTTAAAGTATTTTGCATTCATCCAACGGTAATTGTAATTGACCGTGGATATTATTGAAGTAGCTACAAACAGATCTAAGCTATTGGGCAGACACAAAGATTGCTTTAGCATAGCATTTCACTTCTATTTCTTTGTATTAGATTGAGGGATAACCCAATTTAAATAATAAGTTAACATTCCTTGAATGTATTTCAAGCATAGTCTTTTATTAAATTCTATTACAATGCAAAGATTTTTCAGAATCCTTTAAGACTCAACACGTGGAGCAACACTCCTAAAATTTTACCTTTACAAGGTTCCATCTATCTTCCCATTGTTAGTTACCAACTAGTTATCATTGTATAAAGAAATAGTTAAGAATCCTAATTTAGTAATAATTAAAAAATATTTTAGTGAATCCTGTAGTATTAGTTTCAACTTGCAGAATCTTGCCAAAAGTATGAAATTTCTATACGTGCACATACAAAATTAGTGCTTTACTCCAGAGACTGACAGAGTGCTTTACTCTTTGGAATCCTCTAGAATGAGGGTCAGCAATGGTTTCTGTAAATGACAAAATTATAAGTATTTTTTAAAATATTTTATTTATTTATTTGACACAGAGAGAGAAATCACAAGTAGGCAGAGAGACAGGCAGAGAGAGAGGGGGAAACAGGCTCCCTGCTGACCAGAGAGCCCGATGTGGGGCTTGATCCCAGGACCCTGAGATCATGACCCAAGCCGAAGGCAGAGGCTTAACCTTCTGAGCCACCCAGGCGCCCCGACAAAATTGTAAATATTTTAGGTTTCATGGGACAAGAGGCAAAGTTGAGGATATTATCTACAACTTTTTGTTAATACAAGTCTCCTAATGACAGTGGAATTTATTTAGGGATGCTGAAATATGAATTTCATATACATATACATTTACTTTTTATGTGTTATGAAATATTATTCCTCTTTTACTTTTTTTCAACCACTTAAAAATGTAGAAAGCATTCTCACCATCTGGCCATCCAAAAGCAAGCGGGCCAGCTTTGGCTCAGGGGCTGCGGTTTGCCAATCGTTACCCTAGAACATAAGCTCTTAGATAGTGGGTAGTCTGGAGCCGAGCACCAATGGTGAATTCCGAGAGGGCTTTAAATTTCCTGAGGAGTATCATAGACTAGTCTACAGCTTTCCAGGAAGTCCAGGATTAAGGCAGACTAGGGCCCACCATTCTAGAGACAATCACTGACTTCTAAGAGGCATTTCCTTAGGCTCTGGTCATTCCTAGGTACTGTGCATTCGCTCTTGGGAATTCCTACCCTAGTAGCTAATACTGTTAGAGACACTGAGGGTAAATAAGTGTCTAGATGATCTTGTTATTCATGAATCAGTTGTGTCCACCATTCTTGTTGGCGTTTAAAGACTCAGAGGAAGCTGAAATTCCATACCTCTGGTTCTCAGAGGGAAAACCTTCTGATATTTTCAAATATTTAGGAAATAATTTAGGTTCGAGTGAATATCTGAAACATATTTAAGTGTCCAGACCATTTCAGGCTATAAATAGAAATCAGATTCAACCCACTAGGAATTTTTTTCTTTAAAACCCCATGGATGGGTTCTTGTTAGCTCCCCTGATGGAAAGGACTATAATAGAGGTATAGGCAGGATGAAAGAAAAAACTGAATGTGTGGGCCATCTGGGTGGCTCAGAAGGTTAAAGCCTCTGCCTTCAGCTCAGGTCATGATCCCAGGGTCCTGGGATCGAGCCCCGCATTGGGCTCTCTGCTCAGCAGGGAGCCTGCTTCCTCCTCTCTCTCTGCCTGCCTCTCTGCCTACGTGTGATCTCTGTCTGTCAAATAAATAAATAAAATCTTAAAAACAAAACAAAACAAAACAAAAACTGAATGTGTGAGCTTACAGGCTGCTTAACAGGTAGCTGTTAGCCAAAGCTAAGCTGTTCAAATTCATGAAATGGAGTAGTTACTCTGGAGCAGAGGTGGTGGTGGGATAACCAAAAATGTCTATTTGAAAGTAAATAAGGGTGGGCCCGGGTGGCTCAGTTAAGCATCTGCCTTTAGCTCAGGTCATGATCCTGGGGTCCTGGGTTCCAGCCCCAGGGCGGCCCCGTGCTCAATGAGGAGTCTGCTTGAGGATTCTCTCTCCGTCTCCCTCTGCCCCTCCCCCTACTCAAGTTGCTTTCTCCCTCTCAAATACATAAATAAATCTTTTTTTTTAAATTCAGTAGTTTTTAAAGAGAATTGTAATAATGGTTCTCACATTTATAAAATGCAAAAAAGCAAAAAGTATCCAGGAGAAAGAGTACGGTAACTTCAGTGGGAAATTTACTATGAACGTCAGAGAGAAAAGAGACTTAAAACAGAGTACTCTTGTGTGGTTCAAATACAGAGTTTTTACTCTGGGAAAGAGGAGAACCTGAAGTCGGCCTGCAAGGCACATTGCCTGCATGTATGATATCATTGGTGGCATGGTTTTCAGGTTAAAAACAGAAGCACAAGGGAAGACACCTTTCAAAGACATTCCATCAAGAAGACTTAATGTGGCTAATTTGTGACTTAAAATTGTGTGCCTGGTTTGACCAGTTTACCAATAAATTTGTTACTCAATGAGATTTGTTGGTTTAAAGCAACTCCTATGTGGGAATTAATATGAGACGAAAAAGAAACCAGAAGAAACAACGGTAAATTTGGATATGACTTAGGCTTTTCGAAAGAATGTGTCCTTGTGTAAATAACAGAAAGAAACTATTTACCTCTAATACCTTTTTTCTCTTTTAAACATACAGACTTCTTTTCCTATGAATCCATCACTTGCGGCTAATCCTGGAATGGCTTTCAATCCTTACTTACCTCATCCTGGGATGGGCCTGGTTCCTGCTGAGCTTATACCGAATGCCCCCGTTCTGATTTCTGGAAACCCGCCTCTCGCATTGCCAGCAGCTGCTGGTCCCAAACTGATGCGTTCGGATAAACTGGAGGTATTGGAGAAATATATAAATACCTATAGGGTAGATACTAACCTCATGCACAAAGCAACATACTCAGAGCCCGGGGTTGGGAATGCCTAAAATAAGTGCACCTGGGTTTCTAGCTTAGGGAGTACAGCCTCGGGAAAACGGTAAAGGTGTTCCTATGCAGTTGTACCCTGCTGTGAAGGACATTGGTCCGCTTGTACAACAGGTCAAACAGTGTTTTAGCGTGCCCAGCCGCGGACTTGCTGTGGAACAGGAAGCCTGGTGGGAACGCTCCTTTTCCCCAGGCTTCTGCTTTAGAGACTGCAATGAACTGTATTTTTAATGAGTCTCTACTTGCTAGAATAATCAAACTTGGGGGGGGGGGCGGATAAAAAAACGTAGACTAACTCTATGAATGCAGAATGTGAAACGAGTATCATAGTGTCTAAATCTTTTTCTCCATCTTAAGAATGATGGACTAGATAATAAATCTCCTCCCACCCACCCCCCGCCTACCAAAAGGCAACGTAAAAGAAACTTCAAAGAGCATTTTGATTTAAGGAAGTCCTTCAGTCTTCTCTTGTCATTCTTCATAGATTGAAAGAAATAGCTAGTCCGTTTCCTACAGAGTCAATGCCATTAGCTGAACTTGAGTGCCTGGCAGTGTATCGTAGTACAATCTGATTGGACATGTAGCTCAGTCGTGATCCACGATTTTGCTGGGAAAGATTGCGTGCTTGTGTGATAAAGACTCATCTTGGACTTGAGCAAAACAGCCCCCTCTTGCAAATTTGGCTAATTACACTTCAGGCTGTGAATTAACTGGAAGATTATAAAGTGGTTTTCCACAGTCCTTTTAAGCACTTCTGTTTCAACGTAAGGAAAACAGACAACTTTCCTTGGGAGGGAGCGGAGTGCTTTTTCCCCTAGGACTAGAAATGTCTAGGTTTACACCTCACAGTGACTATGGCTTTACCTTATCCTTCAGCTTTGTAGATTTTTCCTAAATGGATGACAAAATCACGTAGACTACTGCTCTTGCACTCGCTGGCAAATAAATAAAAGCTAATCACCTTCCAGGCATCAGTGTGATGTGTGTTTTGTTTTGTTTTAATTTCAGGTTTGCCGAGAATTCCAGCGTGGAAATTGTACCCGTGGTGAGAACGATTGTCGCTATGCTCACCCTACGGATGTTTCCATGATTGAGGCAAGTGATAATACTGTGACGATCTGCATGGATTACATCAAGGGGCGATGCACCCGGGAGAAGTGCAGGTACTTTCATCCTCCTGCACACTTGCAAGCCAAACTCAGGGCAGCTCATCACCAGATGAACCACTCAGCTGCCTCTGCTATGGTGAGTAGGAAGGAGGCAGGTGTTGTGGGCCATTGTGGGGTAATGATAGTATGTTTCCCAGCTTGTCGAATACCCTTGTAACCATGATCTTGGATGGTCATGAATGGATCTCACTCTGAATAGGGTTATGAGCTGGAGAAGAGAGAACCTGTTTATTCTGCTTCATTCACTGAAATTTTCTCAAAATAATCATTTCAAAGCTTTACTAATGATTTTTCATCGACTGTGCTTTTTTCCCATCTTTAGAGGAAGGCTAAATTATATAATTTAAACAGGAAATTATTTTTGAGTGGTTTTTGATAGCCTGACTCATTCTAATAACCTACAAAGGCAATAAGTTACCTCTTGGCCCCATGAGGGATGCTTTGCTAGTAAGGATGCTGTGCTAGTAACGCACAACACTCCAGTGTGATGGGTTGAGAAATAGGAATTGGGGTTATTTAAGTTGGTCATAGCTGTCCGTGACTTTGATAAGCAACTTGCAGTTTCTTTTTTGATGTGAGCCTTTCCTCATGTTATAGGGTATAATAATCCCCATAAGGGACCAAACCCTGATGAAATCTCATGTTTCTGGGCTGTAGAGGGGAGGAGGAAAATACTCACCCACATGATCCTGAAGCCCATGACAGGAACTTGCCTCTTCCTAAAAGAGATATATTTATTTTCAAACATCTCTATTTGTGAAGAAGGTTTTCCTCACATTGAGTCAAAATCTACCTTGCCATCACCAGAACTTAACACTTATTTCATTATACAAAATAAGTCAGTCCTTATTCTGTAGGAGTGGGACTCTTCATGTCTTTTTTCTAAAGCAAATACTCCAAATTTCTCTCAATTTTTCCCAGGGAGGGTAGATGGAAGGACACAGCACCAGTTCTCTTCCTTGATCTGGAAATCAATCTCTTGATGAATTTTGAAAAAACTTTACCAAGTGGTTTTTGTCTTAAATTCTTTCAAATGAAGGGATTTTAAGCTACGAAAATAGCAAGGTCTCCAGAATGTTCAGTGCAGGTTTCAACCCTCCCGTTCTTTGATCTCTTCTGTTGGTGGCATAGAGTTTAGAAGCAGTGTGGGTCTGTAATAGAGAGGAGGAATGCAGTATGCCCCCAAGAGGAAAGGTCCTCATATGCCTGGGACTTCTTGCTTATACCATTGAGCACCTGTTTCATGCTCAGTCATAGGATCTTCCTATGTATGTGTCTATTTCTCCTGACTTGGGTGTGTTTGGTAGAAGACATACAAGTCAGCCCCAAATTTCCATGTAGAGAGTTAACTATTTATTACCTGATAGGCCTTCATTTAGTACTCGTGAATATCAATATAAAATTACTTTCTGAGTAACTGATCAGAGAAGAATCTTAGCAGTAAGGGCAAATTGGCCACCAGAATTGGTTTAAGGTAAGATCAAGTAAAGGAGACTTCTTGAAGTAATATAAGCTTTCTGGAATACTACTCAGTCAGCAAAAAAAAAAGAAAAGAAAAGAAAGCAATCTTGCCATTTGCAATGATGTGGATGGAACTAGAGGGTATTATACTAAGCAAAATAAGTCAGAGAAAAACAATTATCATGCGATCTCACTGATATGTGGAATTTGAGAAACAAGGCAGAGGATCATAGGGAGGAGAGGAAAAAATAAAACAGGATGAAACCAGAGAGGGAGACAAACCATAAGAGACTCTTAATCATAGGAAACAGACTAAGGGTTGCTGGAGGGGAATGGGTGGAGGGATGGGGTAACTGGGTGATGGACATCAAGGAGGATGCATGATATAATGAGCACTGGGGGTTATAGAAGACTGATGAATCACTGACCTCTACCTCTGAAATTAGTAATACACTATATGTTAATTTAAAAAAATAAATTTAAAAAATAAATAAAAGAAGCCAGGCATAAAAAAAAGAAAGAAATGTAAGATTTCTATATTTTTAAAGATTCAAAGCTGAAATGCTTCGTAAAGTTTTTTTTTTTTTTTTTTACCTTCTTCATGTTCACATGCGTAGCTCAGCTTGACTTCACCGAAAGCAGTTTGCACGCATTTAAAAGCAAAAGAGGGGAAGGGTAAATATTTAGTTCCCAAAGGAAAATAGAGATACCTTTAGGCTTTAAGATCCACAGGAAGAAGGAGGTCATGGCTTGCCCTCTTTTTGGCATATAGAATGCTAGTCACTCAACACAAGGGTTCTGTCTCCTTAAGAATTTGGAGCACACCGGAGTTCTCACCGGGGGAATTTTTTTTAAAGCCAGGTATTTTTTGAAAAAAAAAAAAAAAAAAAAATGTTAAAAGTCATGTCAAACTTCTCCAGTGAATCTGATCAGGAGCAAATTTGACTGAGTATTATAAGCACAGTGGGATTTTGAAAAAAGTGTAGACATGAAAGAAGGATTTTAAATTCTAATGCATTTTAGAATTAAACCTGACAAGGACTTAATGAAGCCAGTGATACATCTTGAAATGCACAGCGAGCATCTATAAATGAGAATTGCATGCATTTTGCTAACTGTATCACCTGGGTGAGGCGGGTGGTGGGGAAGAAAAGAATTTACTTCCTTTTCCCTTACATGTTAGTTGGGACAAGCACAGTTCTGGATTTGGACCCAAAGCTCTTCCATAATTTGGATTTTGTTTTATGGAACTACAGTATCAGACTCTGAACTCCCGACATCTGTTTTATCACCTATATACCACTGATCTCCTAGATCCATGTTGGAATTTGAGCTGGCAAAAATCCCTTTCCTGCTCTATCTGTTGCTTCTTCTCATCTCATTGTAATAGATTCAGGAATGAACATCCCCGAGGTGTTAATTTCAAATGATTATTTGTTGTTAAGCTTCAGGTCACATCTTGGTCAAATGAGGAGGCCCCTTTTTATTTGCCTAAATGAGTGAAGTTGAAAATCAGGATTTTTCCCCTGTATGTTTATTTCCCATTTGGAACTAAGTACTCATCTAGTCAGTTGCTCAGTGGATAGGCTACGGTGGCAAAGGGTTCCCGGGCCATGCCTTATCTAACTGCTGCTTGCTCGCTTTGAGTACATTTTTTACTTTCTCTGGTGCTATGTATTAATCCCTCCCTCCCTCACAGGCCCTCCAGCCTGGTATGCTTCAACTGATACCAAAGAGATCGGCACTTGAAAAGACCAATGGTGCCACTCCGGTCTTTAACCCCAGTGTTTTCCACTGCCAGCAGGCTCTGGCTAACCTGCAGCTCCCGCAGCCAGCATTTATCCCTGCAGGTGAGAACAGGGCTCTGGGCCGCGCGAGTCTAGCGATGTTGTGAATGTGTACAGTGCACGCCAGCTGCCAAAGAGCTTTAGAGCAAGCACTGTCAGTGGGAGTTTGGGTTGGAAATAAAATAAGGCTTTTAGACTTGATCTGCCAGTCTATAGGACCAAATGTTTCTATGATTCCTTAAGAGTAATGGTTTGAAATCAAATGAGGAAAAACTGTCAACATTTTTCCTTTTAGCATTTCTTAGTTTTTGCTTCTGATGATTGTTTCCCTTGGTTCGGTCTCAAACTAATTCCTTGACTCTTAGGTATCACTTGAAAAGACACTGGTCACCCCTCAAAAAAGAAAAAAGTGTTTCCCAGCTTCAGCGTTGCAACGATACATAATCTGTGTATCTTTGATATGCCAAAGATAGTGATAATAAAACTACCCTTGAACTTATAATGTAGTTATAAGACAGTATAGCATGTGTGTGTGTATGTGTATATATATCTCACATACTTTTATCCTTTAACTCTTATATCAATTAATATAAAAAAATAGAGCAGTTTAACATATTTTCCTGATACTATACAGGAAATTTTGTTACCTTCTACATTCAAATGTATGTAATAGCATAATGGTTTTGTACCAAATTGAACAGAAAATTTTGTTCAAATAAATATCATATATAAGGGGAAATACTGTTCTTCCTGTGGTTCAGTACTTAAGAATGATCATATAGTCTCTTAGGAATAAATTGAAAATACTAACCACTGGGAGTACAGTAGATTTTTTTTTACAAGAATCATAAATGCCCCAGTTGGGAAACTATTATTAAATGAAGCTGACATACTTTCAAATTAGGTTAGAAAGCCTTATTAATTACATAAACATACTAAACACATGGCATTGTATACCTACACTTGAAAACACCCATTGGTTAATTGGTAAATTAATCACCTAATTAATTTAGAAGGAAACCATAAAAACCCAGTCTTTAGTTACTAACCACAGTAGTTCTTTATTTTAAAAACGGAAGTTTTATAATTTTTAGACTTTTTTTGCTGGATATGGCTAAGGTAAAGTCTAGACTTAGGAACGAAATATCAGAAGAATCCCTTTCCCCTCAATTAATAACAAAATTTAAATCTGTCAGGCTCAGTGCCCCCTCTTGATTAAAAGCCTATGGTGGACGAGGCTGTGGTAATTTAAATGCAATTTAAGCGAGGTAATTCCTTTAAGGAAAAAAATTAATGTTCATTTTTATACCTAAGAATCCAAGAATTACTTTGATTACCAGGGTTGGGGAGCTTAAAACTAAGCTGTAATTGTAAGCATGGGGTTTACTGGATTTGCATGTGCTCATTAATTAATATTGCAAAGAATATCTTTCTAGTTAAAAATGATTTCTCTCTGTAAAGATTTAATAATGAAATCTCTCTCCTTTACTTTTCACGCTTTTCTGCATGGTGGACAGGGCCAATACTGTGCATGGCACCCGCTTCAAGCGTTGGTAGGTTTTGTACAAACATTCTCACCTTTTTTTAATCCAAAAAAGTGTTTTTCTGTCATGACTGTGAAAGAGATGAGTGATTGGGTGATGTGGTTCACGGCCCACTGGCTTGGGAGGAAGGGTCATTTGGAAAGCATCAGGGCACAAAGAAGAGAGGAAACAACGTCAAGAAGCTTGGAAATGGTATTGTGGTCTGCCTTTGCTCTATGGAAGGCCAAGCATATTAACGACAAAAGTTGCAAGAAGGTACTTGCTTCTCACTCTAGTTTCAACACTGTGGCTAGGGACCTTTCCCTCTCCTGCTATTATAATGCAGATAGACCATGATTGGAGTCATTTATATGTATATACATCCTAGAAAGCCAGTTGCACGCTAAGCTATAAGCAGATTAGGGTACTTCGGCCCAAATAGGAAGAAAGTAAGAGAATTCTGCACTTTTGTATTTTAAAGCTGATAGTTTAGCACCATTTGAACATTTTCTGGACAGTGAAGATTTAATAGGGTGCTGTCTGTTTCACATCTCTGTAGAATGACGACAGTGCTACACTCTTGAGTCCTAGGTGATCTCCACTGGAGCCCAATATGGACCCTGCCATTTCTCTCCTTTCATCCTAAAAACTGCAGCTGAAATATTTTGAAGCATTTCCTTAGCCAGCCAGAATGGGAAGTTTCATTCTTAGCTTTACATTTGTTGCTTTCAACGTGTAATTTGTAAAGTCTAACAAAACAGTTCTTCCCCTCCTCCTCCCACCAAAGTTATCCAGGAGATCTTAATCATTCAGTACTCTACGTTGACAAGGGATGAGTTAGGCAAAGCTAGAGCCTTCTCTGGTGTTCTGGGATGAATTCCATGGTGTTCTGGGAGGAAGTGCCAGGTGCATGGGAACCAGGCACAACAGAATCGTTTCAAAATGACTCTTTGGGGATATGTGATTCTTAACAATCTACCCACGGATCCTTTAATCAGTCACCAATACATCTGGTAGCCGTCTCAAGACCATTTTTACCGTCACTAACACTGAAGAAGAGAAGAAAGAGACTTGTTTGCATTGTAGGAGTTCGCAGTTCCTCCAGCCCATGGGCACAGACACAGGGAGGAATTGTCCCACCACACCCCTCACCCCCCATGTCCTATCCATCCAAGACTTTTCATAGTTTTTGAGAGTTTGCCACAGCCTGACGTCTGTCCTGTTGGTTGACCAGAGCAGATGCAGAACCCCAAAGGGACAAACAGGTTTACTGAAACAAAAAGATCAAAGTGACACACAGTAGTAGCACTCACGAACATAGCAAGGGTTGACCCCTGGCCTTGGAGGTGGGGCCTCAGTTATGGAGCGGTTGGCTGTCCCCTGTAGAAGGTAAACCATGTCCACTGATACTAACAGGAGCATCACACGCGTATGATTAGAACAGACTTCTGCAAGTTGGTAAACTGCATCTCTGTCTTCACATTTTGTGACTCTGCCCCCCATCATTTCACCTAAGAGCTCTGCATGCTTCAGTGGCGCGCTGCTTCTGGTATAGTTGGTGTGCTCCGAAAGGGCAAACGAGGGTGGTTTTAGAATCGGCAGGTGATACACTAAGTGATGTCTGTAGGTAATGGGTAACTGGAGATATGCTTAAGGGGTGACTACAGGATTTCTGTTAATCACCGCTTGGGGTACATTTGTGGTTTCTGTGACATTGTTGTATATTGATTTTCCTCTCTCCAGGCCATTTACTTACTCTGTAGACTTTCAGAAAATCTGAATTCAATAGATGTAGACATAAATTATTATATATGCACGCTCGCCAGTCGCGCCGTACCATTCACACGTTAATTCCTTAGTTTGCTTTCCAGAATGAGCTAGAAACGAGAAAAGCATCCCAAAAGCTTCTAAAATGAGATACAAACTAGAAAAAGCGGGGAAAAAAAAATCCTGAAAGAGATGTGACAGCTGCTAGCCCTACAGTCCTTGCTTTAATAATTGCGATGAAGACACGGTTTTGTCGAATGTTTACGAGGAAGGACCCCATGTGTGTGTTTGACAAGCAGCCTAGGTTTCCAAGGGATTTGCCAGAGGTGTACTTTAAACACCTGTGTGCATAGCCCACTGTATTCTTCATATACTTGCCCACCATATACCACCAATCAAACTGCCATTTGTGTGTGTGTGTGTATGTGTGCGTGTATGTAGATCAGGTAAGTCTACCTGTAACTGTCTCTTTGCACTGCCAATCTAGTGATGATACTCAGGTCTCTAAGTTAGTGAACCCGAGCACCAATTCACACTTTCCCACTCACATTTCAGATGTGCCTCCCAGTCACTTGTCTGCTTGACTAGGTATTCTGATAGCTAGCCTTGGTAAAATCAGCTTTTGTCGTATGCGCTCATCATAACCCCTTCCGACAATGTGGCCTTTTAAGTCAGCTATCTAATGGGATTCTGCTGAACAACGAGCTGTTGAGAATGATTCCATTTTCTTCAATGGTGACTATAATTGGCTTTCCCCTTTTCTCTCTTTAAATTTTTCCCCCTTCCATGCTGTGTTGCTTTGCACTGACTGTGATTGCATGTTGCACCCTGGTGTGTCCATTACGATGATGTCACATGGCTTGTTGCTGTGGTACCTACCACGCCCCATCCCATCGTTTCTGTCCTGGTTGCATAAACCCTCCACCCTCCCGTGTGTTGCTTCCATGGTTTCCTACTGAAAGTGCCCATGATGCACGGCGCGCCTCCTACCACTGTGTCTGCGGCAACAACACCTGCCACCAACCTTCCGTTCGCTGCGGCGGCTACAGGCAATCAGGTTTGGCTATTTCTTTTACCTGTTCAGACCCAGACAACGACCGTATGTTGGTAAGGCCCCGTATATGCCTTTGGGATTGGCGAGAGACATTGATCCGTCCTCCTGTGTGTTTCTTAAGGAGTCATTACATTTTGTGTATCTTCCTGCAACGAACCAGCAGTTTCCTCATTTTGAATTAGTTACCAGAGGTCGCTCTTCCTATACTATGCTCACGATTGCTGCTGTCACACCAATCCTCAAACACATATATGAAGTACTCCTTGAATGCTTCCTCATTGGTCAAGAGAAGAATTTGCTTTATTTTATTACCATTGTTTTGGTTATTGTGTTTGAACTTGCACTGAGTACTATCATCGCCTTTTACCTTCACACCTGCTGGAAAGAAAGCCAAATAATGCACTTCTTTCCAGGGCTCAGATATCCTTACCATTACCCCGTGATGACATCAGAGATGTCACACTGACGCTCTGACACTCGGTGACACTCAGTGATGACATCAGAGATCTCACACGGGCATTAGATGTGCCTGTGTTGTTGTGATTTTCATTTACTTTAGGTATTTACAGGCAGAGTCCCAAAACAAATTTTAAACTGGGGGAGAGTCTCCAAATTGTCATGAGATACATATAACAATCATCATGTAACATGAGGGCCATTTTGCCTTATTAAGGTGGTATCCGCGCTTTAAGACTGCACATTCCACCGCTGCTTCAATTACAAGTGTGATAACCACACAGCACACAGAGCATTAATCCACTGGGAGAATAAGCCACATTCTAATCCATGCTTTGCAAAATTAACTATTAGTGGATATGGTTAATATGTCTCAATTTTCTGCAAAATTAATTATGCTTTTTAGTTGCCATGTCCAAACAGTGAACAAAATAAATGGGATTCTTTCAAGAAACTATTTTAATCTACAATCTTTTTCACTACTATAGATACCCCCATTATCAATAGATGAACTGAATAGCAGCATGTTTGTTTCACAGATGTAGAAGTTACCAGTAGAACAGTAAGTTTCTTTAAGTATTAATATGAATATTATTTATAGATATCTTTTATTTACACAATTGCATTTGCTAAAGGCTTTGGTAAATATTTTCATTAATAGGCATTGCTTATAACTTAGAGCTTGAGTTTAGCACTCCAAATTTTCCAAATTGAAATGTGGAGAGCAAATACGCAATTTTTTTCTGTGAAAAAAATGACAGCCAGTACTGTTTTCCCAATGAGCTTACAAATTCTGAGATGTTTTCCTGTTATTAAAGGAGTGTGAGTTGTCAGCCCAAGGCACAGATCACTTTTGAATATTAATTCCTTAACACTTTTCTAGCTTCGTTGTGTTGCTGTTGTTGAAGCAAAGTAATTTTGTCACAGTCTGACTACAATGAATATCTTAAAAGGCAGCAATATGCTTCTCCCATGATGTCGTAAAAGATCGTGCTTTTTATGCTCTGCCATTTTGTGTTGCTTTCCATGTAAGTCTATCAGAATTGCTCCAGCTGTTTTGAATTTTGAGTGACATAATTTAGTAAGGTAATCATTATTTTCATCAAATTGTGGCTTTTTAAAAAATTGTTGTTGTTGGATTCCCTCCCCACCCCCCACCCCTTTGATCTCCCATTTGCCCGGTCCAGAGCCAGGCAAAGCACACACTTAATTTAAGCAGTCCTTCACTTGGAAATGTGACTTTTCAAGCCAATTAGGACTCCTAGGTATCTTAATTAATGACTGATAGGGACTTATTAAGCAAGTGTATGGATTCTGAATTGCGTATATTAGTCATTGAAAGTTTGAGGTTCTCAGGGCTGGAGTGTTTCGTTTAATGGACAGAGGTGATGGTTCTGTTCTCTTGGTGAACTAGTTCCCCAGAACCTGGCTTAGAACATGAACTCCTGGACAGAGCCTATGGCTGACTGCACATTAGACCATTAGACAAACAAGTCCTTTCAAGCATAAGGAATGTTTTTAAAAGATACCTCTGAATACATGGAATAATGGAATTAGCTATAAATCGTAGTTGTTTTCAGGGGAATCATCTGGGATGGTGGCAACTTGGGATTAGCATCCAACATGAGCATACAGGTTTTGCAAACATCTGCCTGACTCTCATGGGCTCCTCTACAATAAAGTAAACAAACGTTGTCAAATATCATGACGAGCTTTCCAACAGCTCCTGTTTGAGAATCGTGATTCCTTTTCGCTAGTTTCCATTGGAAACTTTGGATGTATTTGGCATACCATAATCACTTCCGTGTGTAATCGATCTTGACAATTTCTCCAGAGTTCAAAAACGTAGTTTTGTAAAATGCTATATTACCTAGATCTCACACCTTGGCTATTTCTGCATGGCTCCAAACCATTCAGATAAAAAAAGTTTCAAGTATATTTAATATTTGCGTGTTTCAAAATGGTGCGTATCGAACGTGTTTTCCCAATGTACGTTTGAATGTACATTGGAGAGATGGAAGTGGAGAGATGGGTGGCTGTTCATCCACACATTCAGGCATTGTGTGGATGACACCTTAAATGCCTGAGCACATGTCTGTCACCTTAGGGCGATTCTGAGCACTAGCACTCAGTGAGGCCATGAACTGTCATGCCGTATGACTCTCTGGGACCCTTTCCAACAGCCCCATTTTCACAGATGTAGGATATGAAACTCGAAGTGGGGGATATATTGGCAGTTCACATACAGAACTCGCGCAAGAACCAAGTATCCCGACTCCTACTTCAATAACCCCTTAATATTTCTCACTCTTTCTCTCTTTTTGTTTTGTTTTGTTTTTTTCCATTTCAGTTGAAATTCTGAACAACAGAGTTACGGAGTATCAAGATCTCTCCATGAGAACCTCCATATGGCCTTTCCATGTATATTCTCGTAGGTCCTCTTCTACCAACGCAACAATAAGTGTGGTGCGGTCAATATATTAAACAAAATGCATCGACCAACCAACAGATTCAATTGACAAAACCAGTAAAGCATTAAACAGTCAGTGGAGATGTTAAAACAGCATAGAAAATGAGTAACTACCATTTATCTTATTTGAATTAGTAGGTAGAATGTGACCGTAAAGTTTTGTAGTTTGTTGCATTATTCTTTGTGATTTTTCCAATAACCATTATGCTGAGTGAATCTCCACAGTGGGTAAATGTTCATCTGTTTTGAAGTGTTACCTTACTGTTTTGTTTACACAATAGTCTATTGGGTTGATTTAGAATGTAACAAAGGTAACCAGTACCATTTTCCTCACTGTTGTATTGTATTGTATTGTGGTGTGTTGTGTTAGATTTTTACATACTATAGTGTTTTCCTCTAGATGTGTGGTGTTTGATTTCAACTAAAATATTACTAACGGGAAACAGAAATATGTGCGTTTGAAAAACATAACAGATTAATGTTAATATGCTTTCTCTCTCTTCAGAACATTTCTGTAAGTTTCTTGGGGCAGACATTCATTATAAACATGCATGTGTATAATTTGTACCTGCCCAACTGACCTTGCATAATACAATCACATGACTAGGGTTTTTTGGGGGAGAGAGAAATAATTATCTGCAGAAAAAAACAGGGAACTTCTGAAAACATGAACCCCTAATGTCACTCCTCAAAAAGCTTACAGAATTACAGTTCACCCTTAAAGGAATTTCTCAGCATTTATGTGAACTGCCCATTACGTTTCTTGTGGTTCAAGGATCCTATCTCCTAGGTTAAGCATGTAAAGCTGAACCATTTGTCAACTTCAGCTGAAGATTGGTATTTGGAGCTTTAAAAGTATGCTTGATTGTAGGTTATAAATTAAACTGGAAGGTGAGGGCATGGGGATGGTTTTCACGTTTTAGAGGAAAGTGCGGGAAAACCATTGCAACGTGACCTTTTACACAAGTGCCATTCTCTGGCTGAAAATGGTGCATTCTCTTTAGACTACTCTGAATAATAAGAGGCAATCTTGCAAAAGTCAGGGTGAAAGGGAATTGGTTCCAAGTGAGGCCTTTTCTTCCCAAATGGATAGCCTTCCCCGCTGATCACAGCTGGAGCGTGAATATAGGTCTGGAGAAACAGTGGGGGTGAGGAGGAGGGTAGGAAGGCATTTCAAGTGAGTCTTTGGTTTACTCACAACTGCTAGGAAGGCCATCCACAGTTGACTTTAGCTTCTGTTCACACGAATTTCCAGTTCCGTTGAACACTTCAACAAGGGAGCCAGCCTCTGTGTCGAGTTGCCTTTCCCAGACTTTATTGACAATAGAGCCATATCGTAACCAAGCCTTTTTTTGTTTCTTCATTTAGATTTGTTTGTTTTTATATGTATTTGAAAACTGTAATAGAGAGGTTCTCAGCACCCTTTGGTTGAGACAGGCCAGCTGTGCTCCGTGGAGCTGAGCTGAATTCACATTACTAATCCTCCTGAAATAATTGTGTGACCAAGTAAAATGGTTCCCTAAGATACTTCACATCAACCTAGGTATAATATTTTCTACTAAATACATATGCTTTCACTAGAAAGCATACAGTCAGCAAATTTAATACATATAGCGGATTTGTTTTCCTTCGTGAAAATGAGAAGCCAAGAGAAAATCCGATTTAGGATTCCTTAAGCTGGCTAGCAGCATTTGAATCACAGAACAATGGAGTTGGCACAACCTTCTCAAGAGGGATGAAACTAGGACCCGGGGCACGTGACCTGCCCATGGCTACCTACCTAATCGGTGGCAGTGAGACCCAGAAAAATCTCCCAACTTTCGGTTGTTCCTCTGTTTCGTGCTGTTGGTGCTTCAGAACATTCGAGACTCTAATCCCAAAGTAGATCCATTCTGCTCAGAATACGAAAGAGCAAAATCAGCTGCACGGTAGCTGATATTCTGTTGTTCTCGATGATCAGTCCCGAATCACGGTCATCAGTCATTTCTAAATGGCCTTGCTTGTGTCAAGACACTGTCATCTGTTAACGGTATTGCCTGGCATTAGAGAACGAGAGGGGTCCAGACTTTGACCTGTTGATTCTTTGAACCACTTCATTTCTGTTTCCCAAAATCTTAACCTTGTGAAATAACTTGTGTATAGATCCTGTGCCAGTGCCTCTCCAGAAAGGCAGAGCTAATCCCACAAACCCAGGAAGGAAGCACCCTAGCTAGTCTGGGATTCTTCCTTAAGGGGGATAGAGATGTCTTCAGTGCAAAACGAACTCTTTTGTGTAGTTTTGATGTTTTGATACAATGTACTGTCTCATTTAACCCTTTAAACTTCTGAGGAAGATGTACGTAGACCAGAAGCATAGCGTACCATGGTTTTTATGATGCTGTGAGCACTGGAAGACATCAGTGAGGACTTATTTTTCAGTAAGAGGTTCAGTGAAGGATATTCAGGTAGTTGGAGTTTTGGGTGCCACAATATTTGAAAGAGTTGGCATTGTAAAAGTTAACTTTGTAAGTGAATTTAAAGAAAGAAGATTCAAGGCTCTAAAGTTTTGATCAGATGCAAAAGAACGTTGACAAAAATGCAATTGTAAGATAGCACTCTTTAAACTAGTTGTGCAATGACTTAATGCAGATTCTCTTTATTCAAGAAAAGAAACGAAGAAACGAGAGTCATTAGACTATAAATTTCCAGTTAAAAAGCCAAGTCACAAAACTAATCAGTGACTCTAAACAATAATTTACTGGATGAGTTGTATATATAAAATTCTAACCACTTGTGATTCTTAGTTGACATTTTATAAGCTTTGTATTGTACAAGGGCTTCTTATTTATCCAAAATTATTGTTTTTGTCTGTTTCTCTCAGCCTTTTGCAAAAATAGGCAAAAGTACTGAAACTTGGGTAAAACAGGTCAGGTAGACAGAGAAAACAATCTAATCTAAAAGTTATCTGTTAAGAAGTTTTTAGTAGTTCAAGAAAATTTTGAAGGCACTATGTGAACAGAAGTATATTTTAAAGAGGGATTAAGATGAAATTAAAACCAAATGGATTCATAAAATCGCTATTTAAATACAGTATTT